TTTCATATCCTTCTATTTTTTAGGTTATCATTTCCTTATATTAATTCCTTTCTACGTGAAATAAATAATTGAAATGACGACAAGAATTGAAAATCGTGACTAGCTTTCAAAGCTCTGAAATTGTTGCTTTCCTTATTTATTACTGTTATCATTATTATGTGTGAGTCCACCGGCTAGTATGGTATCTATACATTTGACAGAAAAAAAATCCTCACACCTAACTATAACATGGCCGTTTTTTGCAAGATGACCCAAAAATGCAATGTCCCTCGTGTTAGTGACATGCTGCGCTCTGATAGGCTAGATTCTTTCATTTTCTTGTTGAAGTCCTACTTTGGAAAATCACCATCAGTTGGTAAATTCGTAATGTTATAGCATTCAAAGAAGAACAAACCCCATCACCTTAGGTATTCAACATCTTTAGCGTTTCACTTTATTTAAAACCACTGGTTATCTCTGAAATCTTATGATATTTGCAAAACCAATTATTCTTATAATACAATTTGTGAATCTGCATTTGCGAATGTTTGTATACAGTTTTAACTGGCCGCTACTCTAGTTAATAGTAAATACATGAATACGTTTATCTTCTAGCGTCAGGTTTAGTGGAATAAACTGAATTTCACGTACTAGTTCGAGACACTTCTCCCTTACCTCGTTCAAGTAACAGCTTAGCAACCGACGTATCCCACTGCCTGGCTGCCTCGTGCATGAGTGTCTGTCCGTGGCGATCCGCCGTGTTAACGCAAGCGCCGTTCTCAATAAGCGTCTCCACGAACTCCAAGTCAATCACTTCCTCTTCGCGGGTTGATGCGGCCAGCTTAGCAAAATAATACAACAAAGCTCTGCTGGGCGAACTTACCGTACTGACTCCGCCATCTTTTCTGTGTTTTTCCTGCACTGAAGTTATCTCCACTAGTTCTTCTAAGTCGCTCAGTTGCGCCGCATTCATGCGGTGATGGTTCTGTCTCATGCTTTCACGGATGGTCGGGAAATCGATCCGCGCTTTCTGATAATCGCGCCACGCTAAAATATCGGCCCTTCTCCTAGCATACTTCTTCCATTTTGACACGTTCACCTTCGCCTGCCCTACGGCTTTTAGCGGAGAAACTATGCGTATTTTTTTCTGTATGCTGGGGCTTTCCTTCTCCTCAGAATTCACCGACGTAGAAGCTAATGCTTGCGCACCCTTGTTTTCCTCAATAACGCCGTCTTCTTCCGTCGTTAGCTGAACTGGAATCACTCTGTTCTTATTTATCTTTCCATTGGCCGTCATTTTCTCTCAGTTATCGCTTGAAGTCAATTTCAGCATACAGCGTCTATGCTAATGATCTTTGCCAATTCTCTTCCTCGCCGGCTGCGTCTGTTTATCGGTGTTGGTGCTTTTATATTAAATTGAAACATGACTTTCTTCACAGTTGCTGGGTAAATTTGCCACCAGTGCTGTGCTATGTTACTTGTCAGAGCCAGTGTTTATCCTCTCCACTAGTGACGCCAAAAATACAAATAGAAATTAATACTAACACGCCAGATGCTAGCCCACCCAGAATACTTAAGTATACTGATAAAAACACGAGAACTGAAAGTGCTGTTTGCGATCACAGAACAGTAGCTATGACTTACTTGTGATACAGTGATAACACATTTATAATCCGGTGTTTTTCCGCGTCTTAGCTACACACTCCTAAGAAATACCCGCCGCTCTGAAACTCGCTGTCTGTCATTCAGCACGCGCGGAATGGAAATTTGTCTTTGGTGCGATATTTTAAATGAAGTGTAATCTTTTGGGCGATAATTCAACCAAGCGCACGGAGGCCGGTGTTTGTTTATCTCACAGAAGTGAACTCCTCCATTCGATTGGTTTAATAAGTGCCACCTACTGTTCACAAACACTAATATTAAAAGGATGTTGTAAAAAGGAAGTCGCACTTTCGTCTTTCAAACAGTTAACATCTTAAGTAGTATAAGTATTTCACATCATAACTGGGAATTTTTTGAAATGTTTCGGGAAGAAGGATATTTTTTAAGGCTATTTTAATCAATACACTATTTATTATTTCTGTTTCTGTCTTAAGATATTTAAACGTGTAAGTCATTCGTAATTATAAGTATGACTTAAAAATTGCGATGCGGTTTTGGAAAACCAATTTGAATAGACCTTCTTTTGCGACAGGTGAAAATGAGAGAGTTGAGCCCGCGAATAGCGAAGATAATTTTCTGGAAGAATATGCGCGCGCATTTCGTTTCACGTGCAAAATATCAACATGGCGGACGAAATTAATGAAAGTTGCTCTTTTCACGAAATGGGTTTAGACGGTCGATTGGTCAAGGTAAATTATAATTTAGGGATCAAAATAGGCCAGAATCGTTCATTTTAATCTTCACGCTCACTAATGTTTTCTCTATTAGGCTATTGCCAAGTTGAACTGGTCACAACCTTCTCCAATCCAGGTTAGCTCAATGAAGTTTCACTGAGTTTTAATCTGCTAATTTGTTTCTTTTGTGTGTCAATGACATTCTGTTTCGATAGAAAGTTCTTACTTTATTTATTCTTACTGTTAAACAGGAAAAAGGAATTCCTTTAGCTCTCGAAGGGAAAGACATCTTAGCAAGAGCCAAGACTGGATCTGGCAAAACTGCAGCGTAAGTTGTCTGAGGGCTGAGTTTTTAGCTAAGATTATAATCAGTTACATTTTTGGCGTATACCTTGTTTATTTTTAGGCTATACATATGTGTTGTAGTAGATCTTAGTTAATTTTTTAATTTCAACTATGTAAGGTTTGTTTATTTCTATACATTTAGGTATGCAATACCACTGATACAGAGAATCCTACAAGATAAACAGGTATGGTCTGTTCATTTAAAAGTAAGACTCTGACACACAGGATCCCTTGCCACAATTTAACATATTAATGCATATCAATCAATCTTACAGACAAATTCTTCCAGCACTGGTGTTAGAGCTCTTGTGTTAGTACCCACCAAAGAACTATCAAAGCAAGCACACAGAAACATCAAGGTAAAACTTTAAATGCCATTCTCTTGCAGTATGTGCAGTACCTGTATACAGGCCAAATTGTTCATGGCCAAATTGTCTAAGGTCATTGTGTACATGTAGTTCTTGTAAGTAATTTTGGTTTTTGTTTAATCATAGGAATTATCCTCTTACTGCTCTCGGGAAGTCAGAGTTGCCGATGTTGCACAGGGAAATCTTGCTAGTACAAAGTGAGTATCAAAGTAAAACTAGTGATGTTTTCAAATGAGCCTCTGGTCAGTCTTGAAATACAATATGTACATCAACTCATTTTCAAAGTTTTTAAGTGGTGTACGAATGCATGTGTAGATTATTTTTCAGTAGTTGAATTATTGTAAGTGTTAAACTCGTTTATCAAAATTCAATATGAAAGACAGATGTCCTGGGCCAAGCCCATTGTATTTACAGGTTTTTGAACCATGTGCTAAATCACATTGTAATGTAATATTATAATAGCAAGTTAACAAGCTTTATATGTTAGCAATAATTTTCCAACACATCCTTTTGTGGATGAAATTGGCAGTGATCTGTTGCATACCTAATAAAGTTTTTACAGATTTCTGAAAGTATGGTTCAAGTATGTACATTGTTTTCAGCTAAAGAGCCAGTCTAATATTGTAATTTCTTTCAAGGTCACTGTTGATGGAGTGTCCTGACATAGTGATTGGAACACCAAGTGCATTACTTGGTCACGTGCAAGCCAAAGTAAGTGTTCATAGTTAATTCGACAATATTACATTGCGTTAAGTACAGTGTACATCAGTGAGATCTACACTCAATTGAATTTAGAGCATGGATCAACCAGATACATGTAACTCAAAATGGCACTATGCTCAGCCTAAATACTGCTCCAGTTAGCCCTGAAATATTGCTCAGGTTAGCCTAAATATCACTGACTAGACAGTGTTAAGCTCTCAATGATTGTAGGGTTAACCCTTACAGACACCCTTGTACCACATTCACTCTTACCCTTAGTGCCATTTCGTCATCTCACCATTTCGTGTTTTAAACACACCCAACACAAATGTAGCTGCAGCAATGAAGATACCAGTATTTCCTTCTCTCACTTCTCCTTGCCTCACCTCATCTCGCCTCTCCTCTCTTTGGAGTGCATTATCAAATTGTATTAAATTATACTGGATATCTGAACAATTGAATTAATTCACCTTGTGACCAAGAAACAGACAAAAAGAGTTGATGTGAGATCCATGTAAGCTATATTTAATTCTATACTCGAGTGAGTGACTATTACATGCATCAATAACAATCATTGTTATTCCAGAATCTTGATCTTAAAGCCAGTCTGCAGATACTGGTCATTGATGAAGCTGACCTCGTCTTCTCGTATGGCTATGAACATGATCTAAAGACTCTTCTAAGGTAAATGTACGTTGTAACATGTGAAACATTTTTTAGTATAAAAGATAAAGAAAATGAGAATTTTCAAATTGTCCAAAACATTAACAGCTGATTAAGGCTGTCTGATACTGGAAGACACATTCACTGCACTAAGAAATTCTTCAATCACCTACCATTGCAGTGTAACTGACCACAGCTACTCCACCATTAACATTGACTATAAATTTGTTTTTTGTCTGAAATGTTTCAAACAGGTTGATTTTTATTTCCCTGTTATACTTGATTATGACACAGGCGGCCCAAGCTCTCAATGTTATCCTTTTTATGCGAACGTTCAGGCTGACGTGACAAAAAAAAATTATGGCATGTACTATTACATAACGACCGAATTTGACCACGTGTAACATGACTCTCGCCTTGCAGCATATGGAGGTGTTGTGTTACAACGGTTTGAATTTATAAAGGTTTGTATGGGAATGCAACGGCTTTGCTTGAAAAGCCAATTGTTCTTATATTTTGTGAATAAAATCTACTTACCCTGTTGCTGTGTTGTATTCTTTGTTGTTTGCCAGCTCCTTGGGCCGATCTAACGCGATTTCGGCGAGTTATCGTTCCCACCAAGACGCGCATTGTTACCATTGACCAATCAAAATCTTGGCGGGTTTGTCAAATAAATCATGAGGGTACCCGGGGAGCATTTTGGTTTGCGTGTTGACAAATCGTTGCTGACTACCCCCGGTCGGGCTAATTATAGTGACCGAACGTACTATGCGAACCGCAAAAGTGTCCTAACTTTTGTGACGCGGCTGTTTTCGAATTTGTGAGCGAAGCAATCTCGAAATAAATGTTTCGTAGCGAAGGTGTTGTGGACGAAATCGCATAGCGAGTGAACTGACATGGAACTTCAACATTTCTTCTTCGATTCTACGGAGGAATTGAGCCGGCGGGGTTATTCGCTTCGAGCGGTGGGCACTCCGGTAATCAGTGTCCGACCTTGTCTTTCTCTTAGTAGTGGAAACCCACAGAACGATAACTCGCCGAAATCGCGTTAGATCGGCCTGAGCAGCTAGCAAACAACAAAGAATACAACACAGCAACAGGGTAAATAGATTTTATTCACAAAATATGAGAATAATTGACTTTTCAAGCAAAACCGTTGCATTCCCATACAAACCTTTATAAATTCAAACCGTTGTAACACAG